TCGTTATGAGCGTGATTCTGTTTATAAAATCAGTTTCAAGTTCAAAATTAAATTTTTAGAGAAGATTCCTGTCATACTGGACAAGATTACTATCGCAACGACGAGTCATAACTAAAGCCTGAATTATAGATTGCCTTCCTTCCTTCCTAGACAAAACCAAGGTACAAACAACAAGTTGTACAAACAGGGTTATAGTGACGATCGACGCGAAAGTCGATCGCCACTAAAGTCACATTGTTTTGAGCCACCGTCCGCTCGTTATGAGCGTGATTCTGTTTATAAAATCAGTTTAAAGTTCAAAATTAAATTTTTAAAGAAGATTCCTGTCATACTGGACAAGATTACTATCGCAACGACGAGTCATAACTAAAGCCTGAATTATAGATTGCCTTCCTTCCTTCCTCTCGTAGAAGATGAACAATACGAAAATCGTAGTGCCATTTATAGATTTCCCTACGGGACAACAGGTTTTTGTTTTCTTCAACTTCTACGGGAGGAAGGAAGGAAGGAAGGCAATCTATAAATCAGGCTTTTTGGCTCATCGGTCTAAAATAGGCTTGCTCTTGCCGAGTGTTTTGACTATCGAGTGAAAGTCAGGGAACATTCTCAATACTAAAATTGTTTGCGCAATTTTATTATTGAACATATTCATGACGTTCATTTAATAGTCAAAATATTCGGTAGGAACAAACCTAACAATAAGGTAGTTACTATCTAGTGGGGAAAAATAATGTTTTAATAAATGAATGAACATTAAAATTTTAAATTATAAAAATATTGAATAAAAAAAATAAAAACAAAGATTTAAAAAAATTACGGATAGCGTTGGGATATATGTAATATTAAATTACTAAAGCGATTGACTGCTCTGCCGTGCTTAATGAAAACGCCGTAACCAACAATTTTGAGATTTTTGTTTTACGGCATTTTCTACTAGAACAATTCATCCTGCGTCTATCCCCGGTACTCAAAAAACCGTATGTATATAGATACGGTTTTTTGAGTACCGGGGATAGACGCAGGATGAATTGTTCTAGTAGAAAATGCCGTAAAACAAAAATCTCAAAATTGTTGGTTACGGCGTTTTCATTAAGCACGGCAGTGCTGTACCCCCATAAAGACCATTCCATAAAAATTGGTCGATATATTCGTATAAGAATGGAGAACCAATTACTCCCAACCGCCGTAAATATTGCTTGAGCTTGCTCCAATAGCCTTCCACATGATTGGTACATACACCAGTCACTGGATCTCGAAAATATCGAGAATGGTTAACAGTGCGGTGTATATATCCATGATGTGGAAGACTATTGTAGCCTCTCCACATGTCGGTCCAGATCTCACTTCCGGCTCTCACGTGGTTCTGGATAATTGGGATTAGCACTTGGGCACTACGGTTTTGAACATGCTGAATATATCCCAGATTGTTCGTGGTATCATAAATCCCTAAAATCCATTTTTCGGGGACCACGCGCCCTCTGTGGTATTTTCTTTTCGTTATGACCGACTCATCAATTTGTACAGTTGTCCCAGGGCCTCCTAAAAGTAATAATAAATTTAGTTTACGAGCGCATAAATGGACTTAGGCAACTTAATCAATTTAATTAAATGCCGAGCGAAGCGAGGCGGGCTTGATCAGTGCCTGAGCCCATTTTTGCGCGCGCAAAAATGGGCTCAGGCACTGATCAAGCCCGCCTAGGCTACTTGTGAACTTAATCAATTTAATTAAATGCCGAGCGAAGCGAGGCGAGCTTGGTCAGTGCCTGAGCCCATTTTTGCGCGCGCAAAAATGGGCTCAGGCACTGACCAAGCCCGCCCAGGCCACTTGTGAACTTAATCAATTTACATAAATGCTGAGCGAATCGAGATGGGCGTGATCAGTTTATTCTTTATACTTGGCACTTTTTCAAAACCATTAGGTATACTTAACTGTTGATAATATTATATAATATTGTACTTACCCAATAAAAATGGTTCTTGCATTAATTTCCAAGATAAAATGTCTCTTATATACCGAAAGGTTTGAATGGATAGCCCGCGATGAGTACCCGTGATCTGGGCGACGGAGCCAGTTCTGACTTCACACGCCCAGTACCACATGATGTGGATTACATCGCGGACAGACACTCTCATTTGGTGAAAGAAACTTCCCGATAGTACGCTATACTCCCTTTTACAAGGGCGGCAGTAAAATGCATGATTAAGAGCAAACTGTCCATCCCTGGCTCTTAATTCACACATTCTTCGGCAGTTTCTTACCTTGCAACGAAACTGGGCTTTTAAAAGTCCAGCCTGTTGTAGGGCAGTAATTAGTTCTTCGTCAGGTTTCGAAGTTAACTCAAAAACGTTGGTAATATTTTGAATATTCATTTTTCAACATATAACAAATACGCAAACAGCAAAAATAAATCACAATTGACACTTTATCAATTAAATGACAACTAAAATAACAAATTTTGTTTTAAAACAAAAGAAACAAAATTTGCAAATCATGCCATTAAATAAAATGCAAAAGTAAATTTTAACAGAATTTAATTGTTTAATTAAGTAGATACATTAATTGGTATTTGATTATTATTTAATAAAATATTATAATTCAAATTCAATCAATTCAATTTAAAATAATATTTAATAATATTATTATCTTAAATTTAAATAAATTTCAATCTGGGTTGCCTACCTACAATTTACAAAGATACATATCATTATTTTCGTAAATACCAAAAATATTGTGCATACTTACTAAATAATAATATTTAATTAAAGTTTTTACATACATTTCTTTTGTTTTGGTACAATAAATATTTAATTTTAAATCAAAAAATAATAATAATTTTACCATTTCTAAACTTGGCAACATTGCAAGAAATAGCTTTGTCATTGGAAATTATGACAGATTAAAATTCAGTGTAGTACATAGAAAAGGTGACAGTTTTAAGCAAAGTTTGTTGAATTTAACACTATAAACATATATTTTAGCGAAAGTTTGGTTTTTCCGCACCTAAATATGCCTAAAATGTGTATTATATTCATTTAAGAAAAATGTAAAAAAAATGTTATTGGATGGCTTCCTAAATTATAATTAATTTTTGGTCTGTTTTGTTCACTTATTTTCTATAAATTACCAAAATTGTCTCACTTTTATGCATGTACATAGGTATATGTGTTTTTTTTTGTTTTATTTTTTTTATATAAATTTAAATATTCATTTGCTAAAATAAGTATGTATCTTAACGGTTAAGTGGAAGAACAGATGTTTTCTTTTAAACACGCTGAACTTCGCCGTTTGAAAATGTAAAATGTTTCAATAAAGACTTATATTATTATTATTATTATTATTATTATGACATAAATTTACAATAAAAATTGAAATTTAAGGGTGAGTTAATGTATACAGGAACCGTTTCAATGTGTAAACCTATCAATAAAACTTTTAATTTCAGAATTTTCTTTAACCTCCTTTTCTTCTTCTTTCACTCAACTGACAGTGACAGTATTTGTACATAACCTCTTGGGGTATTTTCTGACATAACCGAATGAAATCATTAACAAGACAACTTGACAACAGGGTAATTTTCAACCAATAGAAATCTTAGAATGTTGGTCACATGGCGAGGTTTGTGACGTCATAAAAAATTATATTTTTTGTAAATATCTCGAAAACGGTAAACTCAATTGAAATTCTGATTTCACAGAAATGTTTAATATTACAAAACGCCTTGAATAAAACCATAAAAAATATAGGTCAAAAAAAATTTAACTACCCCATTATTACATTCGCGTTACCGGCACCTGTTTTAACCGATATCTTCTTCCTGATTGAATAAATAAATTCAGCTGGGTAATGTTTACGTCCGAACATCATTTGTTGATCACGTGAGTGGCAAAAAAGTTGCCATATATATGTTTTTTTAAATATTCTATCGGTAACGCGACGGACGTAACGCAACGGAAAAAATGTCTGGGACATGAGTCAAATTTAAAAAAAGTTGATTAAAATTAATTAATTTATATATAAATTGTTTACTGTATTAACTAGGATAGCGCTTATCTAAAAGGAACCAACCGCCAACTTTTAAAATTGAGTAAACTGGGTTTAAAGTTTTTAAAGTATATAAAATTCATTTGTAATTGCATTAGTCCAGTTTTGGCGTTTTATTACGGTAAAATGATTAACTTAAATAAACCTAATGAATTTTTCCAAATTTAGTGTTGCTATTTGGTAATACAGGTAAAAATGGCGCTTAGTTCCTTTTTGATAAAAAGGAAATTTTAGACATGGATCTCTTTAAACACTTTTTAGACAAAATAATAAAATAACACATGGATCGTTTGACTTATTTTGTACATAAACGTTTGATTTATGTTAGACTTGGGCATAAAATAAAAATAAGACAAAAGCTGTAATATTTTTATAATAACTTCAGAAAGTTTCGTGATAAACAAAAAATACAAGCCATTGTTTTCAACTAAAAATAAACAAACATTGTTCGACTAATTATTATAAAATAAAAGTAAAACTTTTTAATAGGTAATTCCTAAATTAACGACAACAAAAAATTATACATCAGATTGTTTCTGGCAAAAAATCAATATTTTCACCAAAACCATCTACATCGTCCTCAAAATCAGCTGCATTTAAGTTTCTATAAAAGTCTTTTACATCGTTAGGAACTAGTGCCATCAAACTTTTAATATCTGCCAATTTTTTTGTAGAAATTTCTTTTCCATTTGGGTATAGCATAAACAAATTTGAGGAAAAATCGCTTTTAGTATTAGGACGACCTTTCGTTATTTTCTTTATATTTATTTCTCTAAATTTATCTTGAAAATCGTGTGTGTATTTTAAAAATATTGAAAAAGGATATTCTTTGGCCAGTTTTATAACGCGAGTTTTGAAGTCCCAAAAAAATCTTCCTTTCCCATTTCTACAACAACAAATTTTTTCTTATGTGAGCACCGTTGTATAACTGTTTTAAATTCTTCTAAAGTGTACAAACGTATTTGGTATTTAATAGATCTCTCAATTTCTCCAAAATCGGTGTCATTGGGTAGGAAACTGTGGCCGGGTATCAAGTACTTGAGGTAGATTGTTTTAAGTAAAGGATGTGCTTCTAAAATGGCTTTTAGTAGCAATACAATTTTAATATTTCTGTTTTGCCCCCCACATGAGTCAGACCATAATATTAATTCTTCTGTTTCTGGAGTTAAATACATGTCTACAAACTTTTTAAGACAAGATCCTACCTCTTGAGCTCCCCGACCCGCAGTTCCCTCCTTCCACACAAAACAATATGGTGTATCGTTCGAGCTTGTATGTACTCCTTCGTTATAAATTGACAGTTGTCGTTTGTAATATACGATGTTAGTGGGGAGTTTTGGCAAACCTAAAACTTTTTCAATGTCATACGTTGCGGTCTCCAATTTATTGTTTGTTTTTGCCTCCTCCATGTCATGCTTCATTGATTCTCTTGCTTCCTGTGCCTTTAGTAAGTGCTGTTTGTGTTGCAACTCCTGTTCCTCTCTAAGTACAACGTCGTGTTGAAAATTTTTTATTTTAGCATTAAAACTATCACATAAATTGCAAGTATCTTTAACTGGAACTTTGCGCCTTAAATTAAAGTTTTTATAAAATATAGTTTTGTATGAGGAGAATCCTATTTTATGGTTTGGTTCATCTTCCGTGTATAAACTAAACATTTTTCTAAGTGTAAGATCAGTTTGCAAAAACTTTGCTTCACTCTCATTTCTTGTTTAATGTGAAATATATGTAGGAAATCTCGATATTTGATTTATTACTTTATTTTTAGTTTCTTCGTTTAATTTATTATGTCCCCCTTGCATGAAACCTCGTTCATCTTTAAGTGATCCTGTTTTTATTTTATTTAATGCTGTATTTACTCTTTTTGGTGAAATCTGTAGAGTTTTTATGTACATATCTCTACATACTCTAATATTAGTTATTTCATAAACTCTAGAATTTTGTCTTCTATTGCTCTCTTTGTTTCGTTTTCTTTTTATGCCATGCTGTTTAACTGTGGCCGCTATATAAGCAGTTTGGGCATTGTAGTTCCCTAAACCCCAAAACTGTTCAAACACATTTTTTCTGACTTCTTGTGTTACCTTCTCGTTACATTTTAATGTGCAATTGCACAAAAAGTCTATAAATTCCTTAGGTTCTACCTTTTTCCTTTAATGCTATAGTGTTTCTTATTTGAGTCTCTTAATTGCTTTCTGTTTTTAAAAGTCTGTCCGGGATAGCTTGTTTTTCTTCCCTTTTTAGGCCTTCCCTTTCTATTTGACCTTTCTTGGAGTAATGCTAAGTTTCTTTGTGTATGCTCTAAATTTTCCTCCTCGATTTCCTCCAGAGTGGAATCTACACCAGAACTACCGTAAATACGGGTGACTTTGCACCCCGCGGGTGACTTTAACCCATTTATGAAAAATCTTTTCGCGCTCGATAAAATTAACATTTATAATTTGTTGGTCTAAACCTGTCAATTGAGCGATTCTATTGAGTTTATATTACAGGAAAATCAGTGTTTTAAAGAAAGAAATGGGATTTATTACACTTTAAAATTGTATATATCGTATCAGTGCAAAACTCTAGAAATACACGCGTTAAAATTTCTATATTATGCGCAATCCATTGGAATGATGATCCTTGGTTAACTACAGGGGGGCGATTCTCGAGTTGAGAGAACGATATTCTCATGAGAAGTGGGAGTGTTTCACTTAAGTTTTGACAGGCTGCATTCTTAAAATCATGCAATGGTTTGGTTCTCCTAAAGCAGAAAATAGTTTCCGAGAGAAGAACGCACTAACTTATCTTAAATTCAATAATGCAGCCTGTCAAAACTTGAGAAAAACGCCCACTTCTCCTATGAGAATAGCGTTCTCTTAACTCGAGAATCGCCACCCAGGTCGATTCTTTATTTTTTTTATTGGTAATTCCTTGCAATAGATATATGTCGCTGCTAACACGTGTCTAATAAAAATAAAATATAATATTACATTCATTTTATACTGAAAAAACACTGTGAGACAAAGTAACCCGCAACCAGGGGGTAACTTTGCACACCCAGTTTTTAATGTTTATTTTTGAAACTCAGCACTATGTTATATTATAACATAGTTATTATGAAAGAGCAACTCAAGACTCAAATTTTGGTATACAAAATTTAATGTTTATGATTGTTAAAACCACAAAAATTTTAAGCTGAAGTTTGAAAGTGAGCCAAAGCCACCCGTGTTTACGGTACCTGAACTTTTAGAAATCTTAGTACCAGGGTCGTATTCACTTCCTGAGTCCTCGAAGTCGGAAAAATGTGCAAAGTCTTGTTTATTTATCTGAAAATAAATATGTAGGCAGGTCCAATAAACATTTTAATAAATAACTCACATTTTTTTTAGGCAAAGTGTCAATTGGGCCAATTTCCATTAAATTGGTTTCAAAGTTGCCATTATAATTTATTGCTATATTTATTTTGTTTAGCTCTTTATCTGCATCTTTAGCCTTATTTTTGGCACTGCAACAAGCATCTGGACTCGTAGCACTTCTTTTACTCATATTTCTATCAAAAATTCGTTTCGAAACAAGCCATAAACAAAAAATAATAACACAAATATTTTAATGTCAAAAGGGAACCAAGCGTCACGATATTTGTCAAAATAGCCTTGTGCGCTTTGGATCCGTTCAGAGAAATATAAAAACAGCAGTTTTAAACCAGCAACTTGGTAACCTCAGGAAAAAATGTTGTTACAATTAGCTTTGGCGTTTAAATATTTTTGAACAATCTAATATAAAGTATTTATAGGCGTTTGGTGCCTGTAACTCGAAAATTGTGATTTGGCGGTTGGTTCCGTTTAGATAAGCGTTAAGGATGTTATGGATTGCTATAAAGCAACATAAAGTTCTGGTTATTCAATATTTAAAAAACATGTATGTAAGTTTTATAAATCGCTAATGGGACATGCGAAAATGTGTGTTTCACAAGTTTCAAAATTAAAAAAAAATTATTCTAAAATAACTAAACAAACATTTTCTGAAAGAGTTTACTAAGGGCTTGTTAGGCTTTTACTTGGTTTTTAAATCAATAAGATCCGATAATTTTTAACAAATTTATTGGAATTCAAACTTACGAACAGCGGAAGGCGGGTGTTTTTTGAAAACAACCCAAACTATAAATGAAACGAACAATTATTAAAAGTAGAAAGTGAGGTTAGGTAGATCTGATAGATATTGAATTTTATGATTGGTCCAAACTGGCCTCATAAAGTAGTTTGAAATCACCCGATTGGTCTAAATTATCTGTATATGTCTAGTTCATAATCAATCACTAGTGTCGACTGTTGACAATGATAAAGTTTATTTTATAGACCGATTAAAGATAAAATATATTTTGGTATTTTATACATTTACTGATATTATATCCATTGCGACTAAATAATGTTTTATCGTGATAAGAATTATATAGTATGTATGGCTGTATTGTTGATGTAAGCATTTCAGTAGCAGCAGTCCAGCGTTATAACTCACTCGACAACGAATAACGGCAGTATGGGGATACGCCGCCGCCGCTGCTGCCGCTATATTTTTTCATTGTTAGTATAAGAATATACGATTGCAATGTGCAATAAGCGTCTCTTGGTGCACGTGGTCTTCGGCATTCCCGGAGTCTGCGCGATCCTAAATACCCGGAGTCAACCGGAGCGCGGCTCAGATTCCGCGTGTCATCCGTACTGATCACCACGTGATGTGAGAGGATTCCGCGAGTTGATTTATTATTTTTGGTAAACGATGTTCGCGGTTGTCGTGATTGTGCTTTCCGCTATCGGGCAACGGGTCCTTTCCGAAGCTACAGGACAAGGTAAGACGAAAGTATTTGTATTTTTTTTTATTTTACAAGATTATTTTTTTTTAATAATTAAAGTTATGTGGTAAGTATATTACTTTCGGTTTCATTGGGGACATGTAAATCGGGATTTCGAATCGGGGGCAATTAGATGATAGAGCGCAAACTTTCGGCCAATTACCGTCGGTAAATCACTCGGTTCTCTCTAGGGCCGCAGATTAGTCGTTTTTGGTCGGTGTTAGTTCGCGAAGTTTTCGACCGCCAAGGAACATATTTCACCGGGCCACCGGGGCAGAACATCTTGGCTTCTGGGGTTACGGAAGTCGTTCCCGAACGCGCCCGCCGCCACTTCGAAAAATGGGACCCGCCAACGGGCACGGAGCGAGTTTAAGTTTGGGGAAAACGTTGGACACTTTAATTACCAAAACGTTTATTTATTTCCTCTATTTAGGTTTACCACGTAGTTAGTTGAATCAAAAATTTCCTAAAAGATTTAACTTAATAATTTTAACAAAGTTTAATACTAACGAAGTTCGCTGACTAATCGGTTGTAAAATTACAATCAAGATCCAATTAAAGTTGATTTAATTTCACTTGCAGTGCAAAGTTAAAATTAGTGCCCGTTTTAATACATTTAAATTCATAAAAGCAATGTATTAATAATGTTTTCATGTTTGCATACCAATTACAATTAACATTATATTGAACAAATAATTAGGTAAGTTAATTTCTCTGTAGGTATTTGTAAGGTTTAATTATAATTTAACCTTACAAATATTTGCACATACAAATAAACCAACCTAATTTTAATTATAATTATTTAAATTAGCTAAAAATACATTTATGGCTATTATTTAATTTCTTGATAAACCAAGGTTCTAGGTGAAAAAACACCTTCAGAGTTTCCTATAAATTTAGTGCTAAGAAATATTTTAGGAATGCTTGAAAATAATTTTTTTAAATTATTTATTTATTAATCTTTAATCAAAGAACACCCTAGGCTGTAAAAATAATTTAGACCAATCGGGTTTTTTAGTTTTTTACCTACCAGTCTATAAAAAACCCGTGTGGACCAATCAAAAAATTTGACTACTGTCAGATCTAATCTTACCTCATCTTCTGTTATTATAATTGTACATTTTATGTATTGTTTAAAAAATAAAATAATACATTGAAGATAAAATGTTGTACCCATGCCATGCGGCTAACAAGTGCATTTTTGTGCTTTGCTCAATTGTAGGCCTTCGCTATGCGTCGGCATTCAAACTTTGATATCAGAACAAAAATACTCGTTTCTTAGGCTTATGACATATATAACTATTGTTAAAATTAAAAAAATAATAAAAAAGAATTTTTATATTAAATTACTATTCAAAAATAAACTAGATATACGATTATTATTATTATCATTTATGGGTATTCCTGTTAATTGATTGATTGATTTTAATCATCACTTATAATTATTATTTAAGTCATTAGATTAATTAAATAGATTAATATTTGAGTTATTGCTAGAAATTTGAGTATAAATATAAGTATGGGGACGTATGGCAGGCCCCATCGACATTACCTTATACTAATCTTCCAGGGTTATTTTACCCCCTTTTCGTTCTCCTACGTATCCCGCCACTGCACAGCATTACCTGCGTTTGTTGGATCCGAAATTTTTACACCGGCTGATAGATCTACCCTAGGAGGTTGTGGATGACAGTGTCGGTGGTTGAGGCCACTCCCGGATTTTTGTCGCCGGGTCGGGCCATACGCCCAGTTTAGGCTAGTGGAGAGCGGGACAAGGAGAGTAAAAGTTGGTTTTTGGAGGGCATTGAACTGACCCAAAACTAAGTACAATCCGGAATCCTCCTCAACCGGGGCTTTAGTAATAACCCCTTTCAATTGCTAGAATCTATGCTTGTTGGTGTGCTTCTGAACGTCTCTGTCCGAGTCAGTTTCCGGTTCCTGGTAACCTCTTTAGAATTGTTTGCCCTCCTGTGAGATACTGAATCTTGTCTTCAGTACCGAAGTATTGACGGCCACGACCCGCTGTAAGTGCCCTCTGCCTTCGTGGATATTCCTCATGCCGAGTACCGGCTACCTACCGACCTTGTATATTCTTTATATTCCGTTTTGGAAAGTTTCCAATTGGGAATTTATTTTCATTTTGAAAGTTTCTTTTAAGCTACCGGAAACATTCCTTGGAAACTTTCCTGGTTTTTTTCATTTAAATGTCAATTGTTTAACCGCTGATTTTCGTTAAGGCCATGATACAAGGCCAAGAAACTTTGAATAAGAATTTAATGTGTGTTAATTTAAAGCAGAGGAAGGAGTATAAATAATGTAAGTTATGTTACTTATGTTCTGTGTTATGTTACATAACCTCAATGAAGCCGGATTATTCAGCATCATCACAAAAAACTTTTTAAAAAAAAGGTAAACAAAATAAAAACAATAAGCAAAGTTAAAATCATTCTTACATTTTTGTTGTTTATTTATAGGCATAGCACAATGCCAAGAAAAAAATCTAGTGTTTGGAATTATTTTTTACTTTACTTTTTACTTTGTCCCTTTTAATTTTTGTTTACATAATATCTAGGATTTACTAGCAGTGAATTTCTAATAGTAAACATTTTATTTTTATTTTGTAGGTTTTAGTATACAATAGGAATATTCCAAAGTAAAAGATACTAAAAATAGTATTGCAGTTACATTCTTATAAACATTTTTTTAATTTTTTTTCTTAATAAAATTTGACAAAAAGTTAATGTGTTATATATTTTTGCAAATCCCTGGCATAAAAATAAATATTTTCGCAATAAAAATTTTTTTTTTGAAACTTTCGGAAAACTTCGGGAATTTTCGATGGAAAGATTCCGGGAATTTTCGTCAAATGGGAATTTTCCCATCTCTAATATTCTTTATTTGTTTTATTGTTAAATTAGTGTTTAAACCATTTACATTTAATTTATATCCTTGCATTCTTACTTTTTATGTGTATTCCTATTAATTGATTGATTAATTGTAATCATCACTTATAATTATTATTTAAGTTATTAGGTTAATTGAATAGATTAATATTTGAGTTATTGCTAGAAATTTGTTTAGTAGATTTATTCCATATAAAGATAAATGGACTGTTTTTTTATCAAATATCCATTTAACCCTGCTATTTTATCCGATTTACTATGCGATTGTAGGTATAGTTCGGGCGGCCCTAGGGAGCGCCTGGGCGGTGCAAAGTGTGCCACTACAACGGGCGCCTAAAATGCAATCCAAGCACCCAATAAGTTATATAACAACCTTGCTCTTTAAATATTAATTAATTTAAACAAAATAAGAGTTCCATAGTATGGAGTCCATACCGTTTATATATTTAAAAAAAAAACAAAGGCTCAATCACCAAACAACCCAGCTTTTGGTTTATTTTTTTCTTTTAAACACATAACAAAGATAGCTTAAATATTTTTGAAGTCATACGATGCTTAAAACATATTTTTTCCTTTATTTTTTTCCTTATGAAAACGTCCTATATAACCCATATTGATTCAGATTAGGAATCGAATTCGGTTTTATATGGGTTTATATGAAAGATTTTGGTTTAAATTACGGCATCTATATGGTTAAATAGTGAGTTCCATTTTAAAATTTACCACTTAGACATTTATATGGATTTATCTGGTTTCTTTGCTATATGTCTTTCCGGATAGGTTTCCTTATATGGTTAAATGTACCACTTAAAGACATTTATATGGTTTTATTTGTGCGAGATGCACCACATGAAAAACCCGGTAGGGCCGCAATGCATATATATATCCTATATCCTATAGGAATAGAGGCGGAAGTAGCCAAAAAGTGCCACTTTGACTACGTCATAGCGCTTTTACAATAAAAAATATTTATCAAATATAGTAATTTAGTAATTTATTTTGGTTTTTAATAATACTATGTTATGTTATGTTATGTTATATAACAAAATATTATATAATGAAAAACTTAAAAATTATCTGTTTATTTATTTTATCTTAGTTATATGTAAATATATTTGTTACTTTCTTTATATGATTAATATTATATAGTAATATTAAGTACATACTTATTCAGCAACTTTTTATTCATTACTAGTTATGCGATTTTAGGTTGCAAAATTTATAAAAATAGGTACCTAAATATGTAAAGTTTTTTCTTGTCTTATGTGAGAAAATTCTTAAATTAACTACGTAGTTTTAGGTGGTAAAATAATTTGTAAATAATGACATCATACATTTTATAATTGTTTAATGCGGCGGCACATTCAAAATGTTTTTGTTAATAAGCATATATGCTTATTTGTTATTTTCAGCAATTGTATACAATTGCTGAAAAAAAAAACAAATTTACAATCATTATAATATAAATTTGAAAATATTAAAAAATACTTTCTCATAAAAAAGCCACATATTTGCTGGAATTTGTAAAAATACATAATATTGTTCTGCGATCTGCGACCTGCGACAATTGTAGACCCGGCTTAAGATCTCATAGAAAAGCATGAGACCTGGCAACATTGCACAGGAATGTCACATTCGCGTCGCTGTTCACGATTCCCAGTACCAACCCCTCCCATCCAACCCACCAATTGTGTACAACATAAATAACTACATGGTGCATAAGAGCTATGTCATCCAAATACGACAATAAAATTATTACAAAAAAGCATGTTTTTCAAGGTAAAATTTAAAATTTGGTTCATTTCTGTTCATTACCCTATTTTAAGAATAAAAACTTGAGGCCCAAAAGGCTTAACAGTGCCCGTTCCGGCTCTCGCCCTGCAGGGCCCTGTACCTGGTTATTATGAGCCGATATACGTTTTATTTGTAAATAAAAGTTATAATTTTTAATTTATTAATTCGTTTTTATAACGTTAATAAAATACTTACATTAATTAAAATTATTATTATAAATATACATAATATGTATATTATGCATTATATAATTATTTAACAAATAATTGCTAACAAACAAAGTTACCAAATTTTAGGAAA